GTATTCGCCTGAAGATGACCGCAAAAATCAATTCAAACCACGAGTCCTATTACGAGACACACGTGTACTACAGACCTAAGTGTCCGGACCGGCCGGTGGTGGAGGGCTCGCCTCCCAGACCGATGATTACGGCGCATACGAGTGCCGACTTCCCGGTGCCGTTGGGGCCCAACACGAGGTTCAGATTGGGTCCCGCCTTCATCTCCACCTTCTTGTAGGTCCTGTCCATCAAAACGAGTGATCAGTGAAATGACATATCATTGCAATTACTGTCAAATCATTATTACATGAAATCCCGTAACGAAAGCCGCACTAAATTGCCGTTTTTGAAGCCAAGGGAAAGGCTGGTGTCGGAGCCGGTAGTCGTGTTGCCATTACTCGCGGCACTGGTACTCGGGGTTCCGGTAAGCCTGGACCTGGTGGCACCGGTAGACTTACCCGGTTTACCCATTGGACTGTTAATTAGCAAAATGTTAATCACAATTACAAAACTAAAACCAATTTTCAATCAAATGTCAAAACGTATAGACATTTGACGGCAAATGCATTGAAAAGTCTCAAAATTATTGAAACCATTGATTGCCACACAAAACAATGATTACAGACACGTGTCGAGAGCACCGGTACTTACATTAGTGGGCAACACAACGGGCGCTAATCTAATGACAAACAAAAGTGAACCCAATTTACGGACAATTAGCGCAACACTCGTCACAAAAAACACATATTTTTGAATGAAATGCAAAGTTATGTAATCGACGGCTGGATGTGACCACAAATAACGGCACAAATTGTACGCGAATTTTGTGGCCAACTTCCCATAAGTTTCAATACGGAAGCCAATCGTTTAAATGGCATTCAATGGGCGCGTAATGTATGGCACGACAGGTGCGAGAATTGCGCGAAAACATTGACAATGCATTGACTGGCAATTCATTCACACATTTCTCTGCATTGCATTCAACACTGAATTTGGGATTAATTTTACAGTTTTTTGCGCTTAAAATACAAAACAAAATATCAGTTCATTGATTGTCAACCCATTAGTGGTTCACTAATCGCTAATTCAGTGCTAAATA